TTCTTTTTGTTTCTTCTCATAGGAATTAAAAAGTTTAATTTAAAGGAAACAGGCACTGTGTCTAAGCATGTTGTAGGATTCCCAAGTCTTAAAGGGACTCCACTGACTAGTTTTTGACATGACAAGACTGGAAATATTTTTTCGACATGTATATGTGTATTACATTTGATGCAGATCAGTGGACCAATAATTTGTTAAATTGCGAAAAAACTTAAAAAAAAACAAAAAACAAAACAAGAATATTTATATGCTTTTAACTCATATTTGCCTATGAATAGCAAAAAAAAAAAATTATACTTTTTTTAATTGAATGTGTATTTACAGTGGAGTTCCTTTAACATTAAATTCTAGTAATCAAGTAAAAAAAAAGGTCAAGTTTCCATGAAATAGCTATAAAAAAAAATGAAGCAAAAAAAAAAAAATAATGAAAAAATAAATGGCATTTGGAAACATTTTTTCCCAATTGATCATCAGATTTTTTTTTCTTAGTTTTCATGCATGCTTTAAAATGGAAACAATGACTTTGTTGTTCAACTGGTGATTATAATTATGCTAATTTATATTTAGTTGTTATGTTTGAAATGAATAGTTTATTTCTATAAATATACATATAGTTACATATATTTGTAAATAATACTTTATGAACTTAAATAGCTGATGTTACATAAATATGTTACAGTACTGAGTTGTTAATCTTGAAAGCTGTGTATATACATGTACAATCAGTAATTGATTTCTTATTTATGTCCTTCGTTTTGTTCATTTGAAATATGGACAAGCAAAAATTGCAAGCAAACACAATAAAGGTCCAGTCAGTAAATATTTTTAACTAAATATTGGTCTACTTCTAATTTACTAGTTTTGAATTTAAAATTCAAAATGGTTCTTAAATGTAAAAACATCAGACTGGTGTCCGGTCCAGGATTCACACTGATTTCCATTTCAGAACAACAGACTGGTTTCAATTCAAATTTAATTCAAGTTTCCAGTTCAAAGTTATTATTTAGAATTGTCTTCAAGTTTTAATTTCAGACTGGCTGCCAGTTCAAAATTCAGACTGGTCTAAGTTCAAAATTCAGACTGGTCTCAAAGTTATTATTTAGAATTGTGTTCAAGTTTTTAAATTTCAGACTTGTTGCCAGTTCAAAATTTAGATTGGGCTCACCAATGTTATTTGTATAACCTTGAGCAGAAATCTTTTACATGCTGAAATGACAGAACTGTAGGCAGAATACCACTTAAATTTTCATTTCTTGTCTTTGAAAACATTTATTGCAGTGTGTGATGGCACAATTATGTCAGTTATTCAAAGTAATTTAAGGAATATAATTATACATGTTTTAATAAACAGGAGGCAATGCCAATTCAAAATGTGATAGATCTATTAATGAATATTACTGTTTATTTCATCCTGCCATACTTTTGTTCTGAAAAAAAAAAATAGAATTAGAATAGAGTTGTTTTTAAAATAGTGATTTTATGTAAGTGTTTTCAAACTGTTGTTAAAATTTTATATTTAAACAATATTATGATATTGGAATATAGCCGTTTAAATACAGTCAATGTTAAACTTAGGCTGTATATAAATATGAACATGTTCAAATTTTGTTTAAATATAGGGCTTTTAGCATATTTAAACATAAGCATTTTCAAACTTTGTTTCAGTACAGTCATGTTAAAACCATATTTATATATAGGCATCTTGAAATTGTAAATTTATACTTTGGCATATACAAATATCATTTAATTATAATAGACACTTTTAAACGGCTTTTATATTAAAAAGTATTTAGTTTTGCAATACTGTTTACCATATGGCAGAACTGCATTTGCAATTCTATTTATTCTTTGCCAGAACTTCATCTGCAATTCTGTGTACTGTATGCCAGACCTTCATCTGCAATACTGTTTAATGTATACCAGAACTTCATCTACAATACTGTTAACCATATACCAGAACTTCATCTGCAATTTTGTTTACTGTATGCCAGCACTTCATCTGCTATACTGTTTACCATATGCCAGAACTGCATTGGCAGTACTGTTTACCATATGCCAGAACTTCATCTGCAATACTGTAAACCATATGCCAGAACTTCATCTGCAGTACTGTTTACCGTATGCGAGAACTTCATCTACATTATTGTTTACCGTATGCCAGAATTTCATCTGCAATACTGTTTACTGTATGCCAGAACTTTATCTGCAATACTGTTACTGTATGTCAGACAAAGTCTATCAGCTTGTTGTAATATTTAATATGAATATATGATATATATATAGATATATATATATTTCTTGTTTAATACATCAGAAAAGACAATGCTAACTATTCATTTTTTTGTTGTTTATTTTGTATTTGAATTATATCTGTAAGAAATGGGTAGTCCTGTTATTTTGTAAAGTATTTCTTATACAGACTGTTTCGTAAATGATATAAATGAATAAATATTATGTATTTCAATGGTTGTTTTTGTTCTTCTTGCTCTTGGTTTATACAGAATTCATTTTAGTTGGAATGTGTAGGAAACTTATAGACACAATTTGGAATCTATTCCTGGAATCAAGAATCAAGCAATGAGTGTAACTTTCCGTGCTCAGGGAAATAATGGCTTGTCAGGGACAGGGTTTGAACCCATGTGGCCAAAAATCCTTAGATTACTAGGCTTATGTGTGCATACTTTGCTACACTGTCATTTCTCTTAATGTTTTAACATATTTCTAATTAATGCTTGATTATGATGGAGTTTAGTTGATGCCAATCTGCTACCTTGACTTACATGCACTGTGTTATATAGAAACATGGCCATGATGGCAGTAGGCTTTGAACCACCAATTTCTCTGTTTAAGAAGATACCACCACATGTTGTAATGGGGGATAGCAGGTTGATCTTTGACATTACTTCATCCAGTTGATGATACAAGCCTCTTAAGCACAAAGAAATAAAAATATAAAGAAGAATTGAGAATTAATCTGTGGGACCCAAAAGTGATAAGCCTCTGCCACCATTATAGAGCCAGGCCATCCTGCACATACATCTAATCTGGCCAGGCTCTTTACTGTTGGTAGCTAAATTATTGTTCTTTGATTATTGAAATCCCTTTAAACTTTTTAAGGACTGTTTCAAGTTTAAAGCTGGGCAAATCCATTTCATAAAATTTTTAATACAGCAGGATAACTCCTACATATTTTTAATAATTATACTGATTCTTACCTGGGTTATACTGATCATTGCCTGGGATATACTGATCATTGCATGGGTTATACTGGTCCTTGCCTGGGTTATACTGGTCCTTGCCTGGGTTACACTGATCCCTGCCTGGGTTATACTGATCCCTGCCTGGGTTATACTGATCCCTGCCTGGGTAATACTGATCCCAGCCTGGGTTACACTGATTCCTGCCTGGTTTACACTGATCTCTGCCTGGGTAACACCAATCCTTGCCTGGGTTAAACTGATCATGGCCTGGGTTGTACTTGTTCTTGCCTGGGTTATACTGGTCATTGCCTGAGTTATACTGGTTCTTGCCTGGGTTATACTAGTCATTGCCTGGGTTATACTGATCCTTGACTTGGTTATACTGATCATTGCCTGGGTTATACTGGTCCTTGCCTGGGTTATACTGGTCCTTGCCTGGGTTACACTGATCCCTGCCTTGGTTATACTGATCCTTGCTTGGGTTATACTTATCCCTGCCTGGGTATTACTGATCCCTGCCTGGGTTAAACTGATCCCTGCCTGGGTTACACTGATCCTTGCCTGGATTATACTGATCCCTGCCTGGGTTACACTGATCCTTGCCTGGGTTAATCTGGTCATTGCCTGGGTTGTACTGGTTCTTGCCTGGGTTATACTGGTCATTGCCTGGGTTGTACTGATCCTTGCCTGGGTTATACTGATCTTGTCTGGGTTATACTGATATTTGCCTTGACAATACTGGTCCTAGCCTAGGTTATACTGATCATTGCCTGGGTTATACTGATCCCTGTCTGGGTAAATGATCTTTGCCTGGATTATACTGGCCCTTGCCTGGGTTAAACTGACCATTGCCTGGGTTATACTGGTCATTGTCTGGATTATACTGATCTCTGTCTGGGTTATACTGATCTTTGCCTGGATTATACTTTTCCTTGCCTGGGTTATACTGATCCTTGCCTGGGTTATACTGATCCCTGTCTGGGTTATACTTATATTTGCCTTGACAATACTGGTCCTAGCCTGGGTAATACTGATCATTGCCTGGGTTATACTGATCCCTGTCTGGGTAAATGATCTTTGCCTGGATTTTACTGGCCCTTGCCTGGGTTAAACTGACCATTGCCTGGGTTATACTGGTCATTGCCTGGATTATACTGATCTCTGTCTGGGTTATACTGATCTTTGCCTGGATTATACTGATCCTTGCTTGGGTTATACTAATCCCTTTCTGGGTTATACTGATCTTTGCCTTGATTATACTTGTCCTAGCCTGGGTTATACTGATCATTGCCTGGGTTATACTGGTCATTGCCTGGATTATACTGATCCCTGTCTGGGTTATACTGATCTTTGCCTGGATTATACTGATCCTTGCTTGGGTTATACTGATCCCTGTCTGGGTTATACTGATCTTTGCCTTGATTATACTTGTCCTAGCCTGGGTTATACTGATCATTGCCTGGGTTATACTGGTCATTGCCTGGATTATACTGATCCCTGTCTGGGTTATACTGATCTTTGCCTGGGTTACACTGATCCCTGCCTGGGTTATACTGATCATTGCCTGGGTTATACTGATCACAACCTGGGTTAAACTGGTCCTTGTCTGGGTTATTTGATCCCTGTCAGGTTATACTGATCCCTGCCTGGGTTATACTGATCCTTGCCTGGGTTACACTGAACACTTCCTGGATAATACTGATCCGAGCCTGGGTTATACTGATCCCTGCATGGGTTACACTGATCCTTGCCTGGGTTATACTGATCCTTGCCTATGTTATGATCCCTGCCTGCATTTTACTAATCCTTGCCTGGGTTATACAGATCCCTGCCTGGGTTACACTGATCCTTGCCTAGGTAATACTGACCATTGCTTGGGTTATACTGGTCCTTGCCTTGGTTATACTGATCCCTGTCTGGGTTATATGGATCTTTGCCTGGATTAAACTGGTCATTGCCTGGGTTATACTGATCATTGCCTGGGTTATACTGGTCATTGCCTGGGTTACACTGATCCCTGTCTGGGTTATACTGATCTTTGCTTGGATCATACTGGTCCTTGCCTTGGTTATACTGATCATTGTCTAGGTTAAACTGATCATTGCCTGGGTTACACTGATCCTTGCCTGGGTTATACTGGTCCTTGCTTGGGTTATACTGATCCTTGCCTGGGTTACACTGATCTTTGCCTTGATTATTCTGATCTTTGCATGGGTTATACTGATCCCTGCCTGGTTATACTGATCCCTGCCTGGTTATACTGATCCCTGCCTGGTTATACTGATCCCTGCCTGGTTGTACTGATCCTTGCCTGGGTTATACTGAACCCTGCCTGGTTGTACTGATCCCTGCCTGGTTATACTGATCCCTGCCTGGTTGTACTGATCCTTGCCTGGTTATACTGATCCTTGCCTGGTTATACTGATCCCTGCCTGGTTATACTGATCCCTGCCTGGTTATACTGATCCTTGCCTGGTTATACTGATCCTTGCCTGGTTGTACTGATCCCTGCCTGGTTATACTGATCCTTGCCTGGTTATACTGATCCTTGCCTGGTTATACTGATCCTTGCCTGGTTATATCTGATCCCTGCCTGGTTATACTGATCCCCTGCCTGGTTATACTGATCCTTGCCTGGGTTATATACTGATCCTGCTTGCCTGGTTATACTGATCCTTGCCTGGTTATACTGATCCTTGCCTGGTTTACTGATCCCTGCCTGGTTATACTGATCCTTGCCCTGGTTATACTGATCCTTGCCTGGTTATACTGATCCTGGTTACCTGCCTGGTTATACTGACCTTGGTTGTACTGATCCTTGCCTGGTTTATACTGATCCCTGCCTGGTTATACTGATCCCTGCCTGGTTGTACTGATCCTTGCCTGGTTATACTGATCCTTGCCTGGTTGTACTGATCCCTGCCTGGTTATACTGATCCTTGCCTGGGTTATACTGATCCCTGCCTGGTTATACTGATCCCTGCCTGGTTATACTGATCCCTGCCTGGTTATACTGATCCCTGCCTGGTTATACTGATCCCTGCCTGGTTATACTGATCCCTGCCTGGTTGTACTGATCCTTGCCTGGGTTATACTGAACCCTGCCAGGGATATACTGATCCTTCTCTGGCTTTTACTGTTCCTTGCATGGGTTATACTGGTGGTGTCAGTTTTTAGTGACTTGTAGGAATAGTAATATGCATGATGTGAATATTTTTCATCCACATGTGTTCTATAGCATGTCTAGTGAAAACTTTTCTACCACATGTGTTCTACAGCATGGTGTCTAGTAAATACTTTCTACCACATGCATTCTACAGCACGCCTATTTAATGCTTCATTTTACCTCATTTGCTCTACTGCATAGTTTCCAGTGAATACTTTCATGTTTTTACAGCACAATGTTTCAATGAAACTTTGTTACAGATTATGTTGCTAGCTCAGTCTACATTATATATAAGAATAAGTGTAGGTTACAACATACAATTTTAGAATCTGAATGCTACTTATTTTTCTGTCAATTAAGCATTTCAGCAACTTTAATTCATATTGTTTAGATAGAACAGGGAGATTAAAGATGCTAGGGGTACCATCACTGAAACTAACTGGCTATAGTGGAAAATATAATTATTTATAGTTTAATTTTTTTAATTTCAAGGGATGAGCCTGAAGGTTGAAAAATATTTGTAAAGCTTAATGGCACATAAAAGTTTCAAAGATGTGATATTAGGAGAAAAAAAACACAACTAAGTCCAGCCAAAAAATGTAATTCTTGTAATTCATTATATAAAGGGGAACAACTATGTAAAATATTTAAGATGGTTTTAAACAAGTTCTTTCCCCCTCTTCATTTCTTTCTCAACAGACATAACTTCAAACTAAAGTAAATGATAGGAACTATTTTATCATTTTATGAAGCTAAAGCAAGGACTTGAACTTTAGTACAGCAAGCCCTGGTAAAATGTCTTTTTGGCTGAAAAAAAAGTTTTTCCATCAACATATCTTGAAATATTAATTGTGGTATTTTCCCCAACAAGATTAAGAAAATATTCTTATGCCCATCCCAAATACCCTCAGGCACTTATTTTTCCAAAAGCAGACAGTAAAGACATTTGTATGCATAACAATGATGCATGATTAAGCTCCGTAGGAGACCGTCACCATAACAACTTCCTGAAAACTCATTTCATTTACATTTTTTAATATAAATCGGCTTTATTGGCAAATGTTTTTTTTATCCTTTCATTCATGCATATTAATGAAATGAATAATAGAAATAGATTTATTTTAAGGACTATTTTCTGAATACTTTATGTATTTAAGACAGTTTTTTTTCTGTTTCTATAAAAAAAAAACCACAAACAAATCTTATTATAAAACAATTAAAACAAGACTTTTGACAAACCGATAATATTTTTAAATTGGTTATTTTTTTTTCGCCATCATGTTTTAATATAGCAGTTTAATTGGAGGTTAATATCACTAAGAGAGTTCTTAGATTTGAAGAATAAAATTTTTACTTTGTTTGCTATTTGGTATTCTATTTTTTGGTAAAATTTCAATATTTTACTTGCAGTAAAGCAATGTTATGAAGAACATGAACTTGTGCCTCTGAGGTGGTTATGCGATTGCAGATGAAATGCATCTCCCATGATTGTTCAAATTCAGTTATGATTTAGGGATTTATTTATCAAATTAATATATTGGAAATTTCAGCTATGATTTAAGGATTAATTAATCAAACATATTGGAAATTTAGCTATGATTTAAGGATTAATTAATCAAACATATTGAAATTTAGCTATGATTTAAGGATTAATTAATCAAACATATTGGAAATTTAGCTATGATTTAATGATTAATTAATCAAACAGAGTGAAATTTAGCTATGATTTAAGGATTTATTCATAAAACATAGATTATTGAGTTTTAATCCTTCAATTATATCTGAATCTTACATCATAGTTGATTTTTTAATTTTAATTTATTAATCAAACATACAGGAGAATTCATGATTGGAGGATGAATATACAAAATTTCAGCCATGATTTAAGAATTAATTGATAAAACAATAAGGAAAATTCAGTTGTGATTAAAGGATTAATTAATCAAACATATTGGTAGGGGATTAATTAATCAAGCATAAAATACAAGATTATTTCATCGTTGTAATCAATGATGCAAATAAATTCTAAGCAACAGCTTATTGCTAAATAAATCTTCTTGTATCCATAAAACTATTTGCAAGGAATACTTAAGCACATTATCATTCATTGATCCCCCAGCTATAAACTATTGCCTAACACTGCTTTATCAATTGATTTTCCTGTTATGCATACATAATACAATCGTAATACAAATCCTATCACCTCTTGTAGATTACTCCTAAACAGACTGTTAACCAGCCCGCATAGCTCAATCGGTTAGAGCGCGATACTTGTAATCTCGACATTGTGGGTTCAATTCCCGGGCTGGCCTACTCAACATTACTAATAAGTCTTTCGGATGAGACTTTAAATCGAGGTCCCATGTATGGGTGCTTAAACACTTGGCACGCTAAAGAACCAGGAGAAGCTACTGGAATTGGGGCATCTTTCTGTATCTGTAATTGCACTATCCTCCAAAAATCTAAATGACTAATACTCTTCTGGAGGACTAGCCCATAATGGGCAACCGGAGGCGAGTATAAATAAACGCTAATACACACACATAGACAGACTGCAATAACAATAATTAAGGTAGAAAATACAAATACAAAAGGAGTGATTATGAATAATCAGTGATATGATAATATGTAAGTATGATTGGCAGGCATCAATTAGGCTGAATGCTATTGGTCAATCTTAAATATAAATCAGCCAATCAAAATGCCAGAATGAGAGTAAGCTAAATGTGAATCAAGTTTAATTATATTATGAGCTGTGTGAACACTGTATATGGCAACAGTGATGTTTACAATAAAGATACTCTAGAACTGGGAAAATGTGGTTTTTCGTATCAGATCCTGGAGTATAAAAACAAACTTTTACAGTTACAAATAATCATAATTCCATAAAATTATCACTATTGTGAACAGTAGGTGCACCATGAGTGCATAATGAGGTAAGATCGGAAATACCCATGTTTGCAGAGTTCCCGGTAACATGTTTTGTGCTACTACATGTAACAAATAAACAAGTAAATATTTTTAATATGATGGCTGCATTTTAAATTAAAAATATCAGAAAACCTGAAAACCCTGAAATTAGTACTATTTCATTTGGTTTTATATAGAAAAAGAGAGCATTCAAGAGTAGAAAAAACCTGAACTTCAGGCAAATGCCTTAAATTATATACATACCCTAAAGTTTAAATACTATTTATCTAACATTATTGTGAAGAAAGCTTGCAGCTTATTTATGAACCAGTTTTATGTGTGCTTCTTGGAAATAACTATTACTGCAGGTCTATTCATGTATGTGAAACCATGGATGTAACCGAAGCCATGGACTCTTTCTTTAGAAACATGATGAATTTATAAGATTCATACACAAACACAATTTGTCAAATACATGTACACGTTTAGCATTTATAAACTTCTACAGTTGACCTTTTGTGATGCAGACTCCTTAACTGATACACCACCACTACCTTTATATAATAATAATTATATGAATATTTCATTTTAACATTAGTTATATACCAAGGTAAGGAGAGCATTTGGATAAGCAACAGTAACCCAGGGGTCGTTGGTTTGACACTTGGGCAACAAGACATGACAATAGAGTCTTATTTGTCTCCCACCACTGATCTATAATTTATGTGGGATAAGGAGTCATTCACTTGCAACGATTTTGGTTATTACTGGTTAGTTATCCAGAAAATTTGGAGATATTGGTTATTACTGGTTAGTTATCCAGAAAAGTTAAAGATATTGGTTATTACTGGTTAGTTATCCAGAAAAGTTAAAGATATTGGTTATTACTGGTTAGTTATCCAGAAAATTTGGAGATATTGGTTATTACTGGTTAGTTATCCAGGAAATATGGAGATATTGGTTAATACTGGTTAGTTATCCTGGAAATTTATAGATATTGGTTATTAGTGGTTAGTTATCCAGTAAAGTTGGAGATATTGGTCATTACTGGTTAGTTATCAGGAAAGTTGGAGATATTGGTTATTACTGGTTAGTTATCCAGAAAAGTTGAAGATATTGGTTATTACTGGTTAGTTATCCAGGAAAGTTGGAGATATTGGTTATTACTGGTAAGTTATCCAGGAAAGTTGAAGATATTGGTTATTACTGATAAGTTATCCAGGAAAGTTGGAGATATTGGTTATTACTGGTTAGTTATCCAGAAAAGTTGGAGATATTTGTTATTACTGGTTAGTTATCAGGAAAGTTGGAGATATTGGTTATTACTGGTTAGTTATCCAGGAAAGTTGGAGATATTGGTTATTACTGGTTAGTTATCCAGAAAAGTTGGAGATATTGGTTATTTTTGGTTAGTTACCCAGGAAAGTTGAAGATATTGGTTATTACTGGTTAGTTATCCAGGAAAGTTGGAGATATTGGTTATTACTGGTTAGTTATCCAGAAAAGTTGAAGATATTGGTTATTACTGGTTAGTTATCAAGGAAAGTTGGAGATATTGGTTATTACTGGTTAGTTATCAGGAAAGTTGGAGATATTGGTTATTACTGGTTAGTTATCAGGAAAGTTGGAGATATTGGTTATTACTGGTTAGTTATCAGGAAAGTTGGAGATATTGGTTATTATTGGTTTGTCATCCATGAAAGCTGGTAAGGTGAATCAACCTACAAGATATGGGGAGAGGTGGCTTAGTGGTTAAAGGTGTCTGCCTCTTAACTCAGGGATTATGGGTTTGAGTCCTTATCATGTTACAACCATAGTTCTTTGCAAGAACTTGTTTTGCAAATAATGTGTTAAAATCAGCATAAAAACCTGAAAATCAAACAAGCAAATATAAGTTTTTTTTCTGTTATAAGAGGCTTTATTAAATATTTACCTTCATATCATCTTTCTCATTACAAATTATAATGAACAAAAGTCAAATACATTATTTAAAACACTTTTTTATTTTACAGAATTTCAATATATCAAATTACACATCGTTAAACAACAGGTAACATAATCATGATAATAAATAGAACAATTACTGGTAGTTTTTTCACATTAACAAATCATGTGACTCCTTCATCAATAACTTAATCACATAGAAGCTTATTAAAAATAATGTGTATAATAAAGCATCTACACATCAAAGATTGAGATCTCGCTCAAGTGGTAATGAGATATAGCCAGATTTAACTAAAAAAAATTGAAATCTTCGTTTGTTTATTTTATTGATCTTTAAAATTACAAAATTACAAAGTCCAATTTTATTTTTAGGCATAGTGTCATTACCGTATGTACTATTACTGTAAAAAAAAAAACTTTCACAGAAAATCTTTTTCAGGCAATACACAATCACAGTATACCATTACACAATACTTAATATACATGTACATTTAATGTAGATTTTGTTTGTTTTTATTGATTATTCCCTTTAGACCTATGTGATGGATTTCTCAACTATTTGCAGCTCCGTTTTTCTTTAATGCACTCTTAAGTTCTGTGAAAAATGCCGCCATGGAGCCGGGTATGGCTTGGTCTACAAGGCTCCGTGGTAACATGCCCCCCAGGTCAGGCTGGATTAAACTGACTAGCTTTGTTCTGTTAGGCTCTCTGAAAGTACATGTAGAAATTTTAAAAAAAATAATTTTTTTTTAAAGTAAATAATTTCATAATAATTATGTAGTTTAACCGAATTATTCCCTAGTCTGAAATACATGTACCTTAAACACTCTCTAAATACTCTCTAAACAAAAATATTCTCTCTACTTAACAGAAATATTAGGTACCAAAATATTACCTACTCTAAAATTAATACTGTCTAAATAAAAATATTCTCTTCAAACAAAAATATAATCTCTGAACATGTCAAGTACAATAGCCTATAGAATCTTTCCTGGAATATTAAAATAAGACTGAGATATACAATGAATACCTACTAATCTTATATAATACCTAAATCATAAAAAAAAAGGCAGAAAAAATAATTTATATCTTGTATATATATCAAAAGATAATAATACAGGAACAAAATCAATATCTATAGCAGTATGTTTTCTTTTTCTTAATGTTAATGATGATACCGAGGTAATATCATTATGTAATATATAATAAGGCCATTGTAAGGAAAAGTTTCAGGTTCTTAAATCCCTTCCCATGCTATGCCTTCATAAAAGTATTGTAATATCATTCTAACCATGAATGATATAAAATGTAGTACTTCTTTTTTTAAATTGTTTCAAATAAACCAAGTCAATTGCAATTACTGTTGCAGGTAAAGCTTTAAGTGCTTGATCTTGCACCATATAGATAGTCAGATAATAGACTCCCTGCCTAAAGCCCCAGCACTGCAATTTTGGACAGCCCCCTCCCCCCATCCCCCAAAAAACCCAACTTTTTAGCGCCAAACCAGAACCACCATACCGACATGGCAAAGAAAGGAAAAAAACTAATTTTCTTGCCCTTCCCATGGGATGCGTCACATGTGGGCAGTGGTTATTACAGACTGTTGCAATAAATTCAACAAAGGACAGATTCAAATTCAAATTAAGCAGGAAGTCCATTTACAATGCCAAGTTATAATGCACAGGGTAAAATAAAAACAAAAACAAGTACAATGCACCTTATACCAGCCGTTATAAATCTTATCATTTTGAAAGAAGTAATGAAGATAAAATATTTATCCTGGCCTAGGAAGTTATTTTCCAGATAACAGACAAGCAAGCAATAAGCTGCCATCCTAAAAAGCCCATAATGCACTATTTTTATGTCTATTTCACACATTAGTTTTGTTTCAATAAAATATCACCATGGCAACCGGTACTGGTGCTTTACAAAATTAATTAATGATAAAAAAAATGATATTATGTAATGTATAGAAATATATATGTTTATCTATAACACTGCAGGGAGGAAAGAGTGTTTAATACATGTTTAAAGCTCCAAGACTCCAGATATAAACCAAAATATTTCAAGAAAATAAAATTTGAGAAAAATGTACTACGATTTAAAGAAAAGTTAAATGATTCAAGATAATAAGTAATAACTTACATGTTATGAACAAATATTGACTGATTTTGCAGTATATCATCATATAATCTACTAAGTGACTAATGCAGTAAGGACTATTTTAGTATATTCTGACCTTGTTTTGGTAATTTCATGGGTTATTTGTGTCATTTACAATGTGTAAATTTCTTTCTTTGTTCACTTAACAATATTTTACTTTAAGATACAAAATTTTCATGAAAATTAGCATGAATATGGACGCATGCTGCTTTTAAGAAAGACATTACTTGAGGTGCAATTTATGTTATACATTGAGCAATTTACGCTGCTCCACAAAATTAAAAACAGATCTGGCCAAATTATAAACATATTTACATAACTGAAGCAGAAATATTACATAGATAAAATTGGCGCCACTGAAAAAAAAAAATTTATCCCTGTTTTTATCAATGTCTTGATCATGTTTTCTTATTGTGCTAAACAGACACTGAATTTAAATCAAGGCATGTGTCATATTCATTGCACAAATTCAGCAGTAATTAGAAGAATTCAAAGCAGGGCTTGCAAGTCCATGTAAATTACACAAATTTAGCAGTATTTTCTCAAAACAGGGAAAGTAAATTACACAAATTTAGCAGAACTGTCTCAAAACAGGGAATGTAAATTACACAAATTTTTAGCAGAACTGTCTAAAAACAGGGAATGTAAATTACACAAATTGAGCAGACTAAGTTAATGATTATAATGATAATAATAAATAGAAAGACAAAAAAATAGATAATATTCAATGAGTTTGCAAAAAACAACAAAACTTGCCAAGTGAGTTTTAACTTTTCATGACTCTTTAGTAAATAGAAATGAAATATAAATAAGCTACTTTATTGATATTAAATTATTATTCATTTATTGCCTACTATTTAAGAAACACTTCACATAAGGACAAAACGATAAAACAAAAATAAAAAAAAAAATTCTTCTTTTGTTAAAACTTATATTTATTCAAATTATCTTCTTTTTTACCTTGATACATTTTTTTTCCTTAAAGCAGCATGCCTCCAAATGAGTAAGAAATTATTATTTTATTTTTTTTAGAAAAATAGATTTAATATAATTTAAGAAAAAACAAGATTGCATTTGTAAAAAAATGCCATGCCACCGCATAAATACAACACTAAATAGTAATGGAGGAACACAATTTTAGATCACTTACCTATCTGTTATTATCAGATTAGTACCTTCAGACAATAAGATTTTTAATTTTTTACTTTATGACATAGTGACTGAAAATCAATGATCCCCAGGGGCGGGGCCAATTTTGACCCCAGGGCTTGAATTTGAATAATCTTGGTAGAGGTTCACTACACAATGTTTAAAGCAAAATGTCTCACCTCTAGCCTTTGTCAATTCAAGAAGATGATTTTTTTTAAAGTTTTTACTATATACATGTAAGGAAAACCTATGACCCCCGGGGCGGGGCTAGTTTTGACAGTAGAGGCAAAATTTGAACAACTTTGGTGGAGTACCTATAGATGATATCATACACCAAATATCAAAGTTCTAAGCCTTGTACCTTCAGACAATAAGATTTTTTAATTTTTAACTATATGTACATAGTGAAAATCAATGACCCCCGGGGGTGGAGCCAATTTTAACCCCAGGGCTATAATTTGTACAAGTCCTGCTAGAGGTTCACTACACAATGTTTCATGCAAAATATCTAACCTCTAGCCTTTGTGAATTTAGAGAAGATGATTTTTTAAAGTTTTTACTATATACATATGAGGAAAACCTATGACCCCAAGGGCGGGGCTAGTTTTGACACTAGAGGCAAAATTTGAACCACTTTGGTAGACTACCTATAGATGATATCATATAACAAATATTAAAGCTCTAAGGCTTGTACCTTCAGACAATAAGATTTTTTTAAATTTTTTACTATATGTACATATTGAAAATCAATGACCCCCGGGGCGGGGCAAATTTTGACCCCAGGGCTATAATTTGTGCAATCTTGCTAAAGGTACACTATACAATGTTTCATGCAAAATATCTAACCTCTAGCCTTTGTGAATTTAGAGAAGATGATTTTTTAAGTTTTTACAATATACATATAAGAAAAACCTATGACCCCCCGGGGTGGGGCTGACTTTGACACTAGAGGCAAACTTTGAACAACTTTGGTAGAGTACCTATAGATAATAACACATACCAAATATCAAAACTCTAAGCCTGGTACCTTCAGACAAGAAGGTATTTTAAGCTTTTACTATATTTACATATAGTGAAAGTCAATGACCCCGGGGCGGGGCCAATTTTGACCCCAGGGCTATAATTTGAACAATCTTGGTAGAGGTCTACCAGACAATGCCTTATGCAAAATATCTAAGCTATAGGCCTTTTGGGTCTTTACAAGAAGATTTTTTAAATTTATTCTTATAATTACTTTTGGTTGCCATGGCAACCAGATTTCTGCATGGAATGAAATTCTTTGAACAACTTTAAAAGCCCTTCACCCAAGGATCAATCTGGCCAAGTTTGGTTTAAATTGGACTAGTGGTTTTTCACAAGAAGATTTTTTAAGTTCACTATATAATCTATATAACACACAAACAAACAAACACACACACAGATGAATCGCTATATGCCACCGCATCGCAGATGCTGCAGTGGCATAAAAATATGCAGGTAAAGGTATATTTTATGTACTTATAAATGAAATACTAAGAAATATTGATAAAAGATTATGCATATTTTCATTTTCCATATTTTCACTGTAAAAATTTATTTTTCACTGTAGTTAAAACATATTTTCCATATTTCCATTCATGTCTTGCTGGACAACTTTCTTCTTTATTCAGCAAATAAACAATGTTAAAGAAGTCTTAAAAATTGTAAGAGAAGTGTAATTATAACGATAAACAGAAAATTCAAATATTTTCTATAGATACAGGACAAAATCATTTTCATCTTGCATTATGAAAATTATCAAATTTTACTCATGTCCTCATGAAATATTTATTTTCGTACCACTTGATGCAAAAAAGTCAAAAGAATAACTCAATATTTTCATCACAACTTTTCAAGCCTGTTTCTAAAAAAGTAAGAGAAATTTCTGCATTCTTTAAATAAATTATAGGTAATATCAGTGTGTTGGTAGTAATAAATGCCTTAAACTTTGTTAAATTTCTTAATTCATAACCCCTTGACAAGTCTTTAGTTAGTTGACAATTCACAAGTTTCCATAAAACTTTAAAACAAATCTGGAGGTGTACTCCTTTAATAATGAACATTTTTACTCAGATTTTATAGTTTTGTGAAGAGTTTTCTTTGACTTATAATGAGTTTTTCAGTTGACAGATTAATAATCTCTTAAATTTACACTACTCAAACACCACTTAAACACAATCAAACTTGTAACTTATGATCAATGACAAGAATAAATTTCTTTTTTTAATGAGCCTCTGAGGCCAAGTAGTTATGGCTGCTGACATTAATTTTATCCTTCATGATTGTGTGGGTTTGAACCCAGTTACAGACACAGGATTTTTTAATATGAGAAAGCTAAGTTAGCTTTCAGAACACCCTAGGCTTGACTCGAGTACCCA